TCATGCAAGTGTTTAATTACTTACACTGTAAAACGCAAAAAGTTAAGGTAACTCAAATACATTTACATTTACATTTAGTCATTTAGCAGACGCTTTTATCCAAAGCGACTCACCAAATGAGGACAAGGAAGCAATTTACACAACTAAGAGCAACAATGAATAAGTACTAAAGGCAAGTTTCAGGTCTGTAAAGTCTAAGAAGGGAAGTATTAGTTGTATTAGTTTTTTTTTTTTTTTTTTGTACAGTTAGTGTGATATTCAAAGAGGCAATTGCAGATTAGGAAGTAAAATGGAGACTAAATAGTTGAGTTTTTAGTCGTTTCTTGAAAGTAGCGAGTGACTCTGCCGTTCTGATGCAGTTAGGGAGTTCATTCCACCAACTGGGCAGATTGAGCGTGAGCGTTCGCGAAAGTGATTTCTTCCCTCTTTGGGATAAAACCAAACCAAATAGTTTGAGGAAACCGATTGCTACCAACCATTTGAGTTAACAAACAAATCTATATGAGTACTGTGAACTTACTCCATTTAAGCTGAAGAAATTAGGTATTTAATTAACTCATTACCTCCACCACTATGTTCAAAACTCTTTTCAAATGAATAAATTAACTTTCAGTCAATTATGGGTTAACTACACTCATTTCATTTGATAAAGTTGACTGTTGGGATTTACAGTGTAGAAAATTGCAAAGTTGTGTGATTTGGGACAGACCTAATCTTTCCATTAGCTACTGTGTAGCATTTACTACAGTTAAGCCAGTGAAAGTGGAGCAGGTATCAAGAACAAAAACATAATAAATTAATAAAAAAAAAAAAAAACTCACTGCAAGAGGACTTTAACATTCAGCACACTCTGACCATCTCATCCTCTTTCCCGCAACAACTATAGTCTGTGCTCTGTCAGATAACTTCATTCTTTACCATGTTCATAAGGCATCAATATCAGGGTGTTTACAGTGATTAACATAAACCGACTGGCTTTTTGTTGATCTTCTAATGCCTGAGGAAAGACACAGAGGAGCTCATACTTTTCTCTCTTGGCAATCATTCAGATGCTCACTAATTGAAAAAAGGCATTAAGAAGCCGGATTACAAAGCAGAAAACTGAGCTTTTTTTTTTTTTTTTTTTTGCAATGTTGCAACTGTACTGGAGGAACCCCATTTAGCTTTCAGGAGATATTTATGACCCGCTGTTCAGTCTCAGAGCCCCCGGCTGATCAATATCACAATCTGGACTGTATTACATTTGTGAATATAAATACGCAGACAACATGAGTTTAACTAGATTGTAATATTTGTTTCTGAGAAAACTGTTTATACGCTATCAGTGTTGGGTAAGTTACCTTAAAAAAAAGATTATTAATTGCTAAGTGCATCATTAAAAATGCATTTCAATTTATTTTCTCAATTTACTGTGTCTGAAAAGTGATGTTATTTCACAATAAGGAATTTAATTACTTGACAAAACTACTTTAAATGCCAATAAATCAAATCTCAAATCTTTGTTTAACTTTATTTTAAAAAATGTAATAATTAAGCATTTTAATAACAAATAAAATATTATTATTATACAAAATAGAATTACTCTAAAAAAAGCTAAACATGAGTATCAAAACAATAATTTTTTTAAGAGTTTCTGACATCATGATAATATTTTATGGATACATTTCTTCCCAACCCAGGCTCATTCTAAAAACGTACCGCTATATACATTTCTGGAGAGCACCAAATACATTCCAGGAGCTACATTTTAATGTAATTTTTGTTTTCGCAAATCTGCTAATTGTTTTAAACAGAACTGTTGAATTTATTTACAATATTTAAGGCAAGCACATTAAGGGCTCAATTTGAATGATCTACGCACAAAGTCTAAAGGATATGACGCAAAAGCATTAAAGGCATATGCAAATCCACTTTTGGTATTTTAAGGATGGAGAAATACGCTTTGCATCCCATTGCATGGTTTAACAGGGTTGTGCTTATTCTCTTAATGAGTTATGGGTGTGTTTTGAGCATAACATGCACTCAACCAATCCCAGTTCCATCTCCCAATCCCTTTCAGTCAGTTGTGTTGCGCCATGGTGCATTTGCTATTTATAGGACGGACTTTGTGAGTAGAAAAACTGAATGCTTCACTGGCAAGAAAACTGTTAAACAGAGCATCTGCAGGAAGAGTGAGCCTCCTCTTTTTGGCCTCTTAATTTTCTCTTTACTTTACTTTTACTCTTTACTTTCATGGATAATGAAACTGTGTTGTACGCACTCCACTGAAGACATCCATTAGCCTATACATATTTAATTTTGTTTGTTAACCACAAAGATTTGTTTCAAAAGTATTTCTAAATTCAGTTATAATTTCCAGCAAACAAATAAAGTTAAAGTTATATTCAAACACACATCCTATTCTTAGGCCCTATATGGTGAAGCATCCATGTCTAAAACCCGACTGATGGACAAATCTAAACTTGTTTTTAATAAAATAAATATAAATATAAATATATAAAATATATTTAAAATATATTAAAAATATATAAAAATATATATAAAAACTTATACTAATAATAATAACATTATACAAATGCAAACTGTCACAAATAAACTGAAAATAGCCCCCGACATGAAGAAGGCATGGAGGTAGTGGTATTTATAAAGTAAATAATATTTTTTGTAATATTTAATCCTTAATTTTTTTTCATTTGTAATGATATTTGTGTACATCCTGTGTGTACTTTAGACCAGCTTTCAGTTGGTTAGTGCCGTGGTCTATTTAAGTTCCTCAAAATAGCAACATGCCAACAATGCGCCTTAACACACCTCCTTTTTAGACCAGCAAACCCTTGAGTCCCCAAATTGGTGCAAATGGATTTGCAATGTAAACAATGTAGAGCAAAATGTGAAGATTAGGGTTAAGCTGGTCTAAAAATAGCAACAAATCACGCCAAACATGTCTTGCACCCTATTGTGCCAGGTGTACTATATGATAGGACCCTAAAAGTAATAGTAATGTGTAAATTAAGTTGTTTTATTTTTACTTTTTTAGTGGATAAGTACATTGTATAAATGCTCGGTTCCACACAACCAATATGTACGTGGATAAAGGAATTAAGTTAACTTGTTTTACAAATTTAAGTTCATGGAACATAAAACAATGAAGAAAAAAAACAAGAGTTGTGTTGTCTCAGCTTGTTTTAAATCAGCAGCTTGAACAAACAGCAAGCGTCATTTTTTGAGTCTAATTTTATTACACTTAGAAGCTAATTTGTAACTATCTATTCAACACTGGTTACTACATATTAAGTGTAGTATTTGGGTTAAATAAGTGCCCGGTCATCTGGTTATTTGAAGTGTATTTGACATGAATTGGGATGGTCTGGTATGTTGGTGTTTAGAAATGGCTTAAATAAAGTTGCATGGGACCAATGCATTTATAAACAAGCTTATCCAACAGAAACTATACATAGAAGTGAAAGGAGCCGAAGAACTCGAAACTGGAACATGTTCATTTACATATACATTAATTTGCATATGAATCTGTTCATTTGCATTTATTTATTGGGAAAATGAATATCGTGGTCTTTCAAGAGATCTCCTTCACTAGAATCATTCTAATCTTACAACACAACATGTGAGATAAATAGAGCACCACATATGACAATGTCAATCACTAGAATTAATCAAACTTTCCAAAGTAACAAAAGTAGGAGGACCAACTATTATGAGCTGATTCACTACTAGCATAAACCAGGTCTACCAGCTCTATATAAACAGTATAAAAGAGCTGTAAAGTAGAGTAAATGTGACAGAAGTGCTAGGACTGATCCAGTGATCCGACTTTAAATCAAATGCTTCAAAATCCAGATTTTCTCTAACTTTCACTGACCAAAAGCTGAATTTCCATGACATCCAATGAATGGAAAATCAGGCCGCTATTGTGCATATGTTAATAATATAATATTAAATAATATCTTAAAATATTAGCAATGGTATAGTTGATTTTAGCTTGACAATGTAGCATGATTTTAATCGTCACAATGAGAACAACAATGGATAATTTACCTCAGAATTTGCATGCTCCCTGTCCCATATTTAATAGCTCAAAATAATTTTACAAACTTTCATTTGAACTTTTCTGTCCTCTACTTTAACACCCAGAAAAAGTACATTGCAAAAAATGCTTTTCTTACTTTTTTATCTTCTTTCTAGTCCAAATATATTAAATTTCTTATATCAAGAAGCATTTTCTAGGCAAACAAAACTTATTGTCTTGTTTTCAGAAATAATATGCCAATATTAAGTGAGTTTTTCCTTAAAACAAAAATAGCAAAAATAATCTGCCGATGGGGCAAGCAAAATAATCTTGTTTTTCCTTTTAACATATGATTATTTTGCTTACCCCATCGGCGGATTATTTTGCATGTTTTAAGGAAAAACTCAATTAATTTTGGCACATTATTTCTTTAAATACGACAATATGTTTTGATTGTCAGGAAAAGTCTTTTGATTCAAGAGTAGTTTAGATATTTGGACTAGAAACAAGACAAAAAAAATCTGGTCCCACTTTATATTGTGTCCTTAACTACTATGTACTTACATCAAAATAAATAAATACAATGTACTTACAGTCTTTATAATGTATTTGAGAACACTTGTGGTGCTGTGCTTTTGAGTTGGGATAGGGGTTGGGTTATGGACAGATTTAGTGGTATGGGTAGGTTTAAGGGTGGGTTAAGGTGTAAGGGATGGTCAACAGTGTATTTACAAATTTAATTACAAAAGTTAATTACAGATGTAATTACATACATGTATTTAATCAAGCATAAGTACACAGTAAATACATGTATTTACATAATAAGTACATTGTAACAAACTATTAATTCCTGTGTAAGTACATATTAGTTAAGGCCACAATATAAAGTGGGACCAAAAATCTAAATAAGAAAATGATTTTTCTGCAGTTCAGTTGCGTTGTTTTCCATTTTAATGTCAAGGAAAAAGATTCTTACTGTTGATGATGAATAGGTTTGCTGTGGTATTTGTTTTTCCAAGGCTGTTGACGGCCTCGCAGGTGTATAATCCAGCATCTCCCTCCGTGGATTTCCGTATCAACAGTTCAGATATTTTCCCCCTGCAAAAAGTGACAGTATATAATCCCAGTTGTTGATATTGCGATTCAAGATTTACAATAGCAGCAAAAGCATCTGCATGAGTCATTATAATATCATGAAATACATCTGAGTAAAACTTTTCAGTGGATCGCAGTGCTGTCTAAACTAGTCTTGCATCATTAAAACGTCATTTAGAAGAATTGAAGTGTAATAAAGTGTTGATGCGCTGCTCTTGTATCTCAGCACAGGCATGTTTGGATTAAACTTTCACAACAGCTCGCCCACATGCATTGAGAAATGTTAAACTACTGTGTCTTTCCTTTAAAGTACTGTACATTTTTGTATTGGATTAAATGAAAAAAATATGGTTATAAGCTGAACCCCAAGGGAAAAAAAGTAAAGCATTAATTATACTTTAAATCAGCAGCTTTCATGCCATGTGAAATGAGTACTGAGTACTAAAATTCAGTTATTATGGATTTATAATGTGAGTTGGATTACCTTTTTCCATGACATTTATAGCCATACTGAGAGCACCAAATGTTTAGCTCAGATCTTGAAAATCATATAACTAGCAATACCAAGTCCTAGTATTATGTGTACTGTAAGTGTTATAGTTTAGTCCAAAGTACAACCTTACTTTGATTTTATAATATTTTTCCCCAAAAATATATTAGTAAGGTGAACAAGAGCTGCACAATAATGGAAATATCTAACATTGCGATTTTTTTGCTGCAATATACACTCAACGATCACTTTATTAGGTACACCTGACAAGCTGCTTGCTAACGCAAATTTCTAATCACATGGCAGCTACTTAATGCATATAGGCTTATAGACATGGTCAAGACGATCTGCTGCAGTTCAAACCGAGCATCAGAATAGGGATGAAAGGTGATTTAAGTAACTTTCGCAGTCGCAGTTGTGTGGTTGCAAATGCCTTGATGCCAGAGGTCAGAGGAGAATGGCCAGACTTTTTCGAGCTGATAGATACAACCGAGGTATGAGAAGAGCATTTCTGAACGCACAACATGGTCCAACCTTGAAATGTTCAGCTCTAAGTTGAATCAAAGTAATTCAAAAGATTTTCATTATTGCAAATCAATATTTTACCTTTGAGTGAATGTACTTTTTTCCTGGTCAAAATAAATATTTTGATTAATGTTAAATTAAAAATTTCAGCTTCCAAACAATAATTTAAGGAAAATTTATAAATAAAACTGTAACAAATTTCAGTACTTTTTTTTAGGCTGGTCAAAAGCGAAACTATATTTTAATGTAAGTGTAAAAAAAGATAAATCCAAATAATCAATATTTTAGCAAAGTTAAAATTGTGATCTATACAGAATATTTTTACTTTGTGTTAATGTTTTTTTTTCTTGACCACAATACATATTTTTGATTTATGTAAATTCGATTTTAATGTCTGAACCAAAGTTAATTTATACAGAGAACAATTTACAGAAGTTTTTTTTTTAAAGTTGGCTCAAAGCATTTATTTTTTCAGTGTACTGTATTACGCGCAGGGCAGAAATGCCATCCTGTATATGCAGAAATGAATTTATTTATTTAGGTTTTAATGTCATATCAGCAGCATTGGCTATATTCATGGCAAAAACATATACTAAATATACTAAATATAATCATATAATCATATCAATTTCCTAACAAACATACATTGTAAAAACAACAACAAAAAGCATACAAGTTGCAACAACACTGAAAACAGATCCTCCTGAGACCCAAAGACATTTTTTTATTTTTTTTCTGTGATTTCCTGCATCCTCTGGGTTAAAAATAAAAATCTATAATTTAGAGTTTTTACATTTTGTTTTTACTTTTAATTTTACAGCATGTCGACTGCAGTGGACCACAGGACCATTTTATTTTGAAACGATCGCCACTCAGACAACAAAACTGTACAGGATATAGCTGTAAAGGGATATTAATCCAATCTTAATGTAGCAAAAGCAAAACAAAAGCCATTTTTACCTTTTGTATTGAAATTCCTGAAACAGTTTAGTCTGAAAGAGAGCTGAACTCAAAAAAAAGGAAAAAAGAAAGTGATGTTAATCCGAATTTTTTTTTACATAAAAGCGATTGCCATTCTCTAATTGTCTCCAATTCTCTATTTACCTGATTGTTAGACTGTAAATCAGAGTGTCTCTCAACTATTTTATAAAGAATCCTCTCTGCTTCAGTTCTGCCTCCTACAAACATGCAGTCATTAATGACATTAAGATGGTCCTGGTGTCCACTATAGTGGACTTTAAAAAAGGATGATATTTTGAAACACAAACAAGTTAACAGCTTTGAAAGCTAAATGTACTGTTCCTGACACTTTAATAAACAAATATATTATATATATATATATATATATATATATATATATATATATATATATATATAATAATAGTAAAAAAAAACATTTTTAAAAGCTAAATTTTACATACCTCTCTTCCTCCCATAAAATGTGCTTTTTTGTATGTCGACCGTTTTGGATGCAGTGTAAGAAGTGATTCCTAGCATGCCAGCCAATCAAATGACATATCACTAGAAAGTCCTGGATGTCCTCCGAACTGTACAACAGGACTTGATAGAGTAGCTAAAAAAAATTCTAAGAAAACTATGAAAACGCAATGTCCACTACAGAGGACACAAGTCAATGGGCAGGGTCTCAGGAGGATATACTGTCTTTTAGTTTGATTAAAGATAAATATTCCAAAATTGCTCCAGAAGGCACCTTTTCAAACATTTCACTTAAAATATTTCCCGGATAAAAAGTTCTCTTACATCATTTAAAAATACACATTCTATTAAAATATGCTTCATCGTCATAAATTCTTACACAAAAGTCACAAATAGGTTTTTCTTCCGATTTCAATAAATATGCGCGTGTGAGTCTTGAGTGTACATCGTGTATGTACTACCTGATCGTGTCTATTTTCAAAACTGTCATTATTTCTTTCATTTACAAATAGATTGTACATGTAGAAATAACCTCTCTGGCTCAATCTTATTTGAAGCAACATCTTCAGATTCAACACAACAAGCAAGTTTTTATTAAATAAGCAAGTATAGTTCGTTGTACTTACTGTTTCTTTTTTTTAATCTTTATGCTTTTGGGTTTGTTTTTGCCTGTGAGCTCTTTTCCGTTCTTGTACCACTTGACATTGGGCGCTGGGTTTCCTGCCAAAATCTCACATTTGAGTACCGTTTTTTTCCCGTCCTCCACTGTCACGCTCCGAAGGTTTTTTAACTTCGGTTCCGCTGGAAAACAAAAAGACACAAAACACAAATGAAGCCATCGGTGCTCACAAGGGTGAAACTTGCAAAACATTTAGCACATTATTAATAATTACAATGTAATTACAATTAAATTCTAACAGAAATCTATAAAGCTTTGAAGTCTTTCCTTTCTTGCACAAACTATTAAATTAGATACTTTGGGTATCTAAAGCAGACATTGCTGCCCTCAGAGATGAAATGAATCCTTTCTTATTGTACATTTGTTATGATAGATCCCTTCAGTTAGCTATTTAATCACGAACCACAACCATTACACTAACATAAAGCGAAAAAAATAAGAAAGAAAACGTAACGTCTCCATATTTGAGATGATTTATGATGCCATGAAGCTGTCTAGTTAAATGCGATGCACTTTGTGATTCAATTTGTGCGGGAGAAGCTTCAAAACAGCAGAATAAACATTCAGCCTCCAACAGCTGAGGAACAACAAGATATTCCCTTATATAGTCATTCACAGCCTGTAACTGAACAGAGATTTTAAAACAAAGTCAAAAGAGATGCTGTATTTCAATGTAGTCGCTTGATGTAATATATTTGCACACAATTTAAAACGTTCTTTAAAGTTCTGCCATCGCATCGGAGTTATTCCCAATTACATATCCTAATTACAGCACATGTTTGAAAGTACTCCCTGATGTGAATGAGAAAACGACTTAGCAAAACAATTATACTTGCAGCAATTACATTCACAAATAGCACATCATTTGTACTCAAAATGAGCCTGAAGGTGCTCTTGCACATCAAAGCTCTTGAACTTCACCCAAGCCGTCACTTATTCTGGAACATTTATTCTATAACTGCTTGTTTATGATCTATCAAGAAAGTTGGGTTTGATATATTATGAGAAATTCTGAAGTGATTCACTGCTCAGCGTGATTTATTCACCATTACAATGTATGCAGTGAAGCTTAGCGTTTCTTCATTTGCACCAGTGTTAAGGCCAGGGAATTCCTGTTATCTGCATCTATACTGTTCTTATTCATTTGTTCTTCCACTTATGATTATTATTGGATTTCTGCTCTAAAAGTGTCTCATACAAAACTATAAAAAAAAACACAAAATTTGGAAAGGATGGACCCAAATATCCCTCACTTCTCAGTTGTACACTTACACTGATCTGACCGTAAGCGGTGTTATAATTACAACTTTTAAATTTTTAGTAGTTTTTCTGTAAACACACACGTTATTAACTGTTAATAAGTGTTATGATTGCCAGATCTTTAGTTAGTCAATTTATAATAAATTAACAACATGTCAAGATTTAGTTGTCAATTTAATTTGTATATTTATCCTTGTTGTTTAACATCAATTTTTATTTAAATTTGATATCTTTTCAACAATAGCACCCCAAATTACTGTACTTGGACCTGTGAATGTCGCTTGCAGCTATATTTTTATTCAACACAGACTCATTATTGATACGTACCCCAGAAAACATTTCTGGAGTGTGCGAAACACATCCCAGGAGGTGAGTATTTTTGCAGTTTTCACGAATCCACAAGAGGCCGCTGTGCACGCTTTTACAGATCTCAAGTTTCTCTTGTGTGCCATTCACACCGCCTGTTCTCGCGTAAATCCACCTGAGGTCACTGTCAACCAACTGACTGACTGACTGGCCGATGGACTGACCAATCCCACTTCCCTAAACCCAAACGACAGTGTTTTCAAAAGCAACTAATAAAAAGAAAAGCTCTCACAGCCAGCAGATTTTTAGCATGTTTTCAGATCTTACCACGTTCTCACGCTGTTATTTGCTTGTTTATTTAATTTTTTGCCTTTTGTTTTTGTTTTACCTGTTGTCTGGAACCGTTCTTCGCCTGACTCGAACCCCATCATCGCAGTCAACTCCTCTCAACTTGTCCATAGCATTTGTTTTAAAGACAAAATGCAGTAATAAATAACTCTGGCTACATAATTCACACGCTCTAGAAATAAATACGGGGGTACATTTTCACAATAAACCCGTGTTGATTTTATTAATTACAATTATATCAGTGTTGACTTTTGAAATTTTCTTTTATGTTTTTTTTTCTAGTACAGACAACAATGTTCAAATAAAATGATCCCTGTTCACACGGATCAATGAAGGCAATGAAAATGCCAAGCCAGTAGTTGGCAATGTGACTTGTAAAGAAGCAAATATGGGTACACAAATATGGGCCGCAGTCTTCGATTGGGGCCAAAATGAGCCAAAATGTGGTTGGTTTCAGTTAAAAGCCAACATTTTTAAATCTGGCTACTTCTGTTTTAATGATCTATATTCTTTCATGTCATTGCTCAATTTGAATGCCTTTTGATTCTGTCAACCTATTTGTCATCACACACTGCAGTGTGCGTTTTTTTTTTTTTTTTACCTCTGATCATGTATCGTCAGCTTATTTATTTAAGCTTAACAGCCAACGTAGAGACAGAGAGAGTCTGCGATGTAAACATGACTAATGTCATGCTTATATCCGGTGTTAAGATGTGTTTTGGTCCATCGGATCACAGGTAAAACAAGACACAAGAATCTGGCAAATAAATGTACTTCTCTGATCTTTCAATCTAATACCATGAAAAAAAAGAAAAAGATCAATCGTGCTTTTTGTCAACATTTGACCAGTTAGTACCCAATTGAATACCTATGAACATGTTATGCAGTGAGGTTTATCTCCTTCGTTTCCAACGTGTTACTGTTATCTAGTACAGAATTTAAACTGTTTTATGTTTAACCTGTATATTATATACACCATTGTCTTCATTTAAATGTGTTAGATTGTTAAATAAATATTTAACAATATTAAAAGTTTTTATACTGGGTGATATGTAAAGTTAAGTTTTGTGTCTAGGTAATGATACACAGGGCTACTTTTTGAGCAGTGTTGTTGGCCAATATTCTAGAGTGGTGTTGCTTGTCTACTTTGCTGCTGAAAATAAGCAAACATTTTTTAACAAAGAAATCAGAAATGTAAGTTATTTTGTATAGATGTATACATCCTGTGTGTGTAATAACTGGTAGTAGTATTTAATACTTTTTACTTAAGTATTATTTGAGGCTGTACTTCTTTACATTTATTTGAAGACAGAAGTGTAGTCAGTACTTCAACGTTTACCAGAATCGTTTTAAACATCAGTATCTGTATTTCTACTCAAGTAAAAGATGTGTGTACTTCTGCCAATTACTAATTAAAATAACAATGTAATAATTAACTGTTTCACTCCGTTTTTAATTCATAGATAATAAGAAGTGAGATATTAATTCAACTTTTCCCTGTAAGTTGTGAAATGTCCCTGGTTAACCGATTCTCAAGATGACTGTTTAAACTGCTAAAAATCAAAACCAGCAGGTGGTGGTAGAGTGCCTGAAGAAATTACTCAAGCCTAAAGACACTTATGGATAAATGAAGATGAACAAAACACCTTTCATGGACAGGTGCCACTTTATACTATCATTTTTTGTGATAATCATTAATGGATGCAATAAATACCCTTAGAAGAGCCAATGAATATGTTAAAGTGTTCAGAAAATGCTTCAGTGTTGTCCCGACTGCACAAAGGCCCACTTTGGCATATTTCAAGCAAAGACAAATGTCCTCTGTGTTTCTGTGACAAGATATGCAAATGGAAACCAATTCACATCTTCTATGCAGCGCACACTGTTTTTATCTCTTCAACTGGAAGATCTAACAAAAGCACCTTGATTAATAAACCTGAAGGTGTCCAAAACAACAACAAAAAAAATCAAGCAAACCTAACCATGACCACCAAAAAAGGCAATACTTTTGTTTAAGTAATAATTCACTCCATTTACTACTGGCTAATTATGTGCCCATTATTAAGATATTAGTACGTATGATGTAATTGTACACTCCTGATTATATCCAACTACTACCTAAATATCAATACTATAAGTGAGCATAGATCATTTTTTCAGATTAATCTCACTGTAATCTTGGAATTAATCTAGGTTAAAATGGCTTATTTAATTTCTGCCGAAGGCATTCAGAATATGTGTGCTGCCCAAATAATAACTAAAAGTAAGTCTTTAAGAATGGGTTTCTCAAGCCAGGTGCCGCATTAGACCAGGGGCTCATCTCCTGTTTCCAAAATGCATCACAAACTCCTTAAGAAACTGTTCTACTGTGATAATTGGTGATGAAAATAAATGATGTTTAATAAGATGTACTTGTGTTTACTAACAGTATATTCAGTTAAACATGGATTTTGAACTGTAGGCCTACATAAACTCCAAACAGCAATTTTTGGTCACCTTAATCTAACTAAAGTCTTAACTGAATTAAACAGAAATGGAATTAAGACATGGATATGCATATAGTAGTGGCATTATTAAAGTAAACACTGCAATCAAACTATTACCTCATGTAGGACTTTTCACCATATTTTCCGACAAGATCCACACATGCGGCTGTCAGTTAAGGACCGCACACACACGCACACACACGCACACACACAGATTACGAAATTCCATAAAACTCTCACCAGTCCTTACTCTTTATTTACGTATAAAACCCCAGTTTGTCACGGGGGCATGAATAAAATGTTCAGGAGTGAATGTGAACCTGCCGAACTGCAGTTAAAATCATCCAAAATTACAGGAAACTCTTACATGAAAGCACTTCACGTAAACGCCTTAATTATATTATTGTCGATTAAGGCAAATAACTAGATTACAGATGTCCATGTAAGTGTAGTCAGTATGTCTTTAAAGTAAGTGAAAGATTAAGAAGGGCGTCCTGCTGATTTGATCCAGAAGGGCACTTTTGTGTCAAACGGCTCACCAGTTTGACTTTCATTCACCTTCATATATTTTTTAAAAAAGCACCCGGTCCATTTTATTTGCATATGTTTTACTCGAACGCATTAACTCCGACAGGTGCCTGATGGATAGATGTGTAGCTAACATTAACAGACTCACTCTAGTGAACTGCATCCATGTTAGCACGTCACATTTGATGTGGTAA